TAATGGAAACCCAGAGAACAGAGAATGCATGCTGATAAAAATACATAGTTATTTAATTTGATAAATAATAAATTAAATTTATCAATTATCATTTGATAAATGATAAATTTAATTTGATAAATACATTTTAGGTTAAAAATTTATCTTTTTTTTTTTTGGAGAGGTTTTTGCCATAGGGCGCGTGCGTTCACCAGACAGACAGAGAGAGACATAGAGACAGAAAGCGAGAAATCACCCACCAAAGGGGATGGTCACACCACAATCCCTTCTCCTCCATTCTCCTCTTGGGATCTTGGGCACTCACCCACAGTGCCTGGCGTGAGTTGTAAGCCACCGGGTCCGGGACGCGAACCACAGTCGACTATGTGGGAGTCCAGCGACATAGCCATTACGCTAACTGCTGGTTCCAAAAAATTTATCTTTATTTATTTATTTATTATTCCCCCTTGTTGAGGGGAATTTGAAAGGCAATGCTCAGGCCGATTCCATGACCTACACCAAGTAAGCATCCTGAGGGTGAAAGAATTTAAACACTTCAAACCTCAGCCTCCTTCTGGATCTCATCTAGAACCTCACAGCTTTAAGGCCGCCTAGTATAACATATTTTGTACAAAATGGCTATTTACTCTTTCTGTTGCCCCAGATAATTGCTATAGAAAGCCCATGTTTCATTAAGGTCTTCCAAAATGTGTCTCTTTTCTTCCTTCTATTTTTTTAATCTATGGTTTCTATGAATTTGGAAACAAATATGATTTAAAAATTTGATTAGAGACTATGAAGTTGATGATGAAAGGAGTTTATTTCTTCATCACCATCAAAATAAACTTCAGAAACTTCTTCTCCATGTTAACCATTACCACAAAAAAAGGAAGAAAGAATTAGGATGCTGGAGAAGTCTTATAGAAACCCACAAACACTTTGTAAGTTTACATCTTCATAGACTGTATCACCTCTGGTAAGGGAGGCCTATTATGAGGGTAATAGGGCCTAACATACGGCAAGGCAAGGTGGCTACTGCCTTCTGTGTTATCCAAGCTATCTAGAGTACTAGAACAAGAGCTCTGCTCCTGGTAATATAGCAATAGTTCACTTTTACTCATTTTAATGCCATTACTGTCACAAATTGAAATTCAAAAGATTCGATTTCTACCTTCAGCAGCAGTTGGCCTCTCCACCTAGAACCCAGGAGCGAGAAATTCAGAATTGCATCTCTTTTTCCCTCTCTGTTCTTGTGAGATTTTTACATCTTCAGCTCTATTTTAGGTTTTGTGAGGAATCTTACCATCAAACACGATGACTAGCAATATTACCAAGACAGATTCTTGCTCCATGAACTTCCATGTATTCATTGGGAATCTCAACATTCTTGTGGTCAGGAAGTCTCATGTGAAGGCACTCTCGAAGTACGGCGAAATCGTGGTTTGTTCTGTTCATAAGGGCTTTATCTTCATTCAATATATTAATGAGAGGAATGCCTAGGCTGCTGTGGCAGGAGAGGATGACAGGATGGTTGCTGGCCTGGTTTTAGGTATTAATCTGGCTAAAGAGCCAAAAGTGAATGGAGGAAAAACAGGTATGAAATGATCTACAGTGGAGGGGTACGGCTGCTCTTTTGATTTGGACTATGACTTTCAACGGGATTACGATGACAGGACGTACAGTTACCCAGCAGCTATGCCTCCTTCTCCTCCTTCTCCTCCTATTGTGTGGGCTGTAGTGCCCTTGAAATGCCAGCATGTTTCAGCAAACTCCTCATGAAGGAGCAAAAGTAGCTATTCTGAGTGGACAGTGAGGTTCTTCTTCCAAGTCTGGAAAGTTGAAAAGAAATGGCCTGAAGGCCATTAAGAAGGAGTTAACCCAGATAAAACAAAAAGTAGATTGTCTTCTGGAAAACCTAGAAAAAAATAGAAAAGGAACAAAGCAAACAAACACTGGAGGCAAAGAATGATAAGTCAGTGGAGGAGCATAGCAGCAGCTCCCAGAAGAAGGAAGAGACTCATGTGAAGGTGGAGTCTGGGGAGGGCTTACATCACTCCGCTGAGGAGGGGGACCTACGGGATGATGATGATAATGAAGATGGGGTGGGTGGGGAGATGAACAGCTAGAGTTGATCAAGGTAATTGGAGGGGGACCTACGGGATGATGATGAGAATGAAGACGGGGTGGGTGAGGAGATGAACAGCTAGAGTTGATCAAGGTAATGAAAACGAGAATGAGCAGGAAGAGAATGGCAGAGACAGTGCCAATGGCAAGGGTGACTCTTAAGCACATAGTGGGGATTAGAAATCTTACCCATTATTTCTTTACCTAGGCGCTTGTCTAAGATCAAGATTTTACCCAGATCCTCTCCCCTAGTATCTTTGGCTCAGCTCACTGTTCTCCCCATCTTTGTCCTTCCCACGTTTCTTAGTTCATATTGCCCTGTGCCTGGTCCCATTTCACTTCTTTTGATACTCCTAGTAGTTTTGTTAAGTCTTAATCTGCAATTTTGTTTTAATTTTGATAACTCTTTATAACTTAACAATAAAAAGGATGTATGATTTTTGCTACAGAGCGGGTGCCACCATGCTCCTAAAAAGGATGTATGGTTTTTATCAGCTGTCTCCAAAATAATCTCTTGTTATACGGGGACTACAGTTCTTTTCCTTCATGTACGAGTTCAGTAGCTCTTCCCTAACTGCAGAGGCAGTCTCACTTAGTTGAGTATCACCTGAGAGTGGCATTGATAGAAGTGTATGTTTTATGCCTCACCTAAGAGCGCTATGTGGGGCTGTTCCACACAAGTGTAACTGTATTTCTGTGAAAGGGAGTTGGCATGTCAAACGCTCCCTCTAGAAAACTAGTGTAGTAGTCAAGATTTATCTTCTAAAGTTGATACTGGGGGTTATTTTTGTAAACAAGCTAATGTTTAGAACCTCTTCCCCTCAAAATAAAGAAGTATTTATTAAACCAGGGGGGAGAAAAAGAAATTCAAAAGCTTCTGAGTGTATCTGGCAAACTAATAATTGACTAATTACAAAAGTAAAATTACGTAAGGGTCTGTGGTTTTGTCTGAGAATGTGGGAAACTGGTGAGCAGATACCTCAGTGAGAAGAGAGTGAAGGATCTCTGTGGGCTAGAGTCAGAGCCTGTGGTGTGAAGAGCTGTGGCAGAGTAGAAAGAGCTGTGCTCACCAAGGACTGTCAGACAGCAAAGTACAGGTAGCAGTGCCTCCATCCCTAGGAAATTGTGGAGGGCCTGCTTCTTGTTTTTGCCTGGAACCCAAGTGAGTATCTATTGTAATACATCAAGAGCCTTCACACTTAGCGTTTTCTAGGTAGGGCCCAACAATGGCGAAATTTATCTCCAGGTAGATAAACAGGAGTTAATGGAGAATAACTGGTGCCATGGGCTGCAGTCTGTTTCCCCTAAAATCCATACATTCCTAACCCTACCTATTTCAGAGTATGACTCTCTGTGGACATAGGGCCTTTAAAGAGGTAACTAAGATCAAATGGAGTCATTGTGTAAATCCTAATCCAGTCTGACTGGTGACCTCATAATAAGGACAAATGTGGACACAGAAAGAGACCCCAAAATTGGGCATGCACAGAGGAAGACCGTGTGAAGACATATCAAGAAGGTAGCCATCTGCAAGCCAAGGAGAGAAGCCTCATTAGGAACCAACCTACACTTTGATATTGGATTTCTAGCATCCAAAACAGTGAGAAAATAAATTTCTGAAATTTAAGCTGCACCGTTTTTGGTATTTTTGTTATGGCTGCCTTAGCTAACTATATAGCAGGCAATTAAGAGCTTAAAGACTGGCTATAATTACAGTCTGCTTTAGAAACGCACATAAAACAAACTTTGGGAGTATTCAGGCATAAATGAGAGGACCCAGGACCAAGAATTCCTGGAATGAACAGCTAAATTAGAATATGCCAAGGACGTTCGGATGATTATTTTGAATATGAACATTACTACATCTAGCTAGTAACTGCACATACTGAATTTTAAAGAAGCACAACTAGGGGTAAATAACATAGACTTGGACTTTTTAATCCAGTTCTCTATGTGATTCTGTGTAGATTTTTGCTATAGGGCTCTGTGCTTGCCAGAGAGACAGAGATAGACAGAAAGCAAGAAATCACCCCCCGGGAGAATAGCCAGACCACAATCCCTTCTCCTCCATTCTCCTCTCAGGATCTTAGGCACATATGTGCGCAAGATTCACACACAGTATGAATTTAAAGTCCCCAGGTCCAGGACTCGAGCTGTGGTTGACTATATGAGAGTCCAGCGACATAACCTTTATGCCCTCTGCTGGTCTCTATACCTCAGTTTTTTCATCAATGGAAATAATCAGGTTAACTTCAAAGGGCTTCTTAAGAATAAAATGAATTAATATGTACAAAGTAAACAATTTTAAAAATACTGTGACATAAAATACATGATGATACTGTATTAGGTATCATTTTTATTATTTTATCATTTTTATTATTACCATTATGATACATTACGATAGACATTATTCAAAATACATTATTGAATAAATGAGACACAGTTAGGTAAAATAACCCACTTAAGCTCAAATCATTAGTCAATGCTGGATCCAGGATTTTACCTCACACGTTATGGAACTGTAAATTGTTTACCATGCTCCATAGAAACAAAGCCTTTATTTACAAAGCCTTACAAAAAATGTCAAGCAGCTCGTTAAAGCAGATGGTACTCATGTTTACAAGGTTCACATTAATCCAAATGACTTTTCCAAATGAGAAATAAATATAAAAATTCTTCATTTCTTGTACTACTGTTCTCTAAGAGATGCAAAATAGTACTATGTAAATAGTATATAAAGGCACTAAGATTTTTTTAATTAATTAATTAATTTTTATTTGACCAGAGAGGGACAGAGTGAGAGAAAGAGAGAGAGAGAAAGCAAACCATCAGGTCTGGGACTCAAACCATGGTCAGCCATGTGGGAGTCCAGAACCCTTAACCACCAGGCCATCTCCCAGCCCCCAGACAGTAAGTTTTCACATTTTTCTAAAGATTTATTTATTTATCTTATTGTTAAATAAGAAGTTAAGGTAAATCTTTAATGATACATATTTGATTGAGGAGGCAGATAGGATAAACAGAAATAAACAGATTTTATAATATACTCACAGTACTTACAATATGCGCTTTTTATTTTCTATATTTGTGATTCTTAAAAATTTATTGACGATCTAGAGCTATCTGTATCCCAGATTGAACAACCTATTGTAAAAGAAAGACTGCTTGTGTTGTTTTCATTCACAACAAGTCGTTAGATTTGCTGGAAGAAGTCATTTTATATCGTCTTTGGTATACATGTGTCTAGATTAAGAAATACTTCCTCTCTTTCTTTAAGTATAAAATTATACCTGCAAAGTGGTGATCTGTGAGAGAAAAAAGGCAAAAAAAAATAACCATTAGTAAAACAGCAAACTTTATATCCTTCTCAGATTAATAGAATATTATATGCCTGGGACGGTGTGATGGTGCAGTAATAACACGATATTTCACCTCCCTATTCTTCCATACAGGAAGGTCCTGGCTTCATGTTCTGAGATTTCTGCAACTCCAGGTGTAGGTACTTGTGCTCATGATCTTGGCTGGTTAGACTTGGGTTGGGATCAAGGCATGAAGACCCCATAGGGGTGCCTGCCTCACTCTTCTCTCTCTTTGTTTCTCCCTCTCTTAACTCAGCTCTTAAAGGCCAGGCCTGTCTCTCCACCATGATCACTACCACAAGAGTTAGGGTGAAATTCAAAGACAAATTTTGCCAGAATGATTTAATAAATCCTCTTTTACCACCTACTAAAATTGAAATAATAATGTCTAAGGTATCTTATCACTTGAAAAGTATATTGTTAAACATATTGTATATTTAACATTTTTGAGAAGTAAAGTCACTCTGGAGAGTTGAGCAGCTTAGCTTATCTGGTTATCTTTCTGTCAATGTCTCAATTAAAAAAAAATAGCCAGCTAGAACAAGAAACAGTTGATAAAATATCAAGAAATGAAGGGAGATGCAGATAAAAACCACAATGAGATACCACCTAACCCCTGTCAGAATGGCAAAGATCAAGAATATAAAAAGTGATAAGTGTTGGCGGGGATGTGGTGAAAAGGGAACCCTCCTACACTGTTGGTGGGAATGTAAACTGGTTCAGCCACTGTGGAGAACAATATGGAGGTTCCTCAAAGATCTACAAATAGAACTACCATTTGATCCAGCAATCCCACTTCTGGGTATCTACCCAAAGGACAGGAAAACGCTCAGTCGGAAAAGTGCTTACACATCAATGTTTATTGCAACATTATTCACAATTGCCAAGACATGGAACCAACCTAAATGTCCACAAACTGATGAATGGATTGGAAAAGTGTGGTATATATACTCTATGGAATACTACTCAGGCATAAAAAATAACAAGACCCTAGCATTTGATAGAAAATGGTCAGATATGGAGGATCCATTACTGAGTGAAGTAAGCCAGGCTATGAAAGAAAGATATTGTATGTATCCACTTAATATATACTGACTATCTGCACTCTATGGTAGAGAGCGAAATATTGGAGGACATAAAAGCAGTGAAAATACTTAATGAGAATAAGACAGCGTGGAATGGGGGGGTGAAGAGAAGAGGATAGAGAAAGATAGCAAGAGAACAAATAGAGAGGCAGGACATTAGTAGGAAACAGATAAGTGGGGAGATTAATGTCTCTGTATTGACTGACATGCATGACATTCCATATTGAAAAAGCAATGCAATACACCGTAAAGTTACATGTAATCCAATGTAATATAAAGATTATGATGATAATAAAATTTTAAAATAAATAAAAAATAAAAAATAAATTAAAAAAAGAGAAATGAGCAAAAGAAAAAATAGTGGTATCAAGTGGACACTTTGTATATCAGTAATCCAAACTTAGTCAAGGGAAAGGAGCCCAGTCAACTGCATTGGGCTCAGGAAGCTCACCTGTATGTGCCATGTATTGTTCTAGCTTAGGACAAGCTTTGCTCCCAGTTTCTTCTGCCATGGCTAAGACACCATTAATACAGTTTTTAAACATTTAGCAAGTTTTTAGTTTAAACCATTTGTTCAATTTGTAAGTTAACCAATTTCCGTATCTACTAATGTGTTTAAAAGTAGTAAAATATAAATATTGTATCCTTCTATGTAAAAGTTGATGTAAAATACTATAGTATTTTTCCATTTGAAATAACAAAGGCTGCCTGGAATTTTTACTTTAATCCTATAGTAGTAAATGTAAAACGCTAATGCTTCTATAAATTTTTAAAATATTGGTAAAAATATCTTTTTGTGGACCAGCAAGTGCCATGGAGGTTAAGATGCTAAATCCCACATGGGGGTAATTTCTTACTTTCTCTCTCTCACTCTCTCTCTTGTAATCACATGAGCCCTATAGCAAAAACAAAACAAAATACCTTTTTGTGAAGTCATCAGTGTGTCATAATTTGAATGTCTAGGGACCAGCAGATGGCATACTGGTTATATCACTGGACCCCATGTAGCCGACCATGGTTGGAGTCCCAGACCAGCAGCTTAAACTCACACTGGGCTCATGGGCATGCTTGTCTAAGGTCCCAAGAGGAGAATGGAGAAGGGATTGTGGCATGGTGGCCCCCACTAGGGGATGATTTCTAGCTTTTTGTCTATCTGTCTCTGTCTTTCCAGTGAGTGCATATGCCCTATAGCAAAAACCTCTCTTAAAAGAAAATTTGAATGTCTTTAGAATGACTACATATTTTAAAAATCACACTTCATTCCTCTCCATTATTATTAAAATATGTAATAGACAAATGACTTTCCTATTCCTCCAAATATATGTATATGAAAAGGTTTTTCAAGAAGTTTATGCAAACATGGAATTAAAGTACAAGTTTATTTTGAGATAAAATAATTTTTAAATCCATGAATTTGTTTTGTTTTGTTTTTGCCATACAATATGTGTGCTAGCCAGCGAGAGACAGAGAGAGGGAAAATGGGAAATCACTCCCCCAGAAGGCTGGTCATGCAATCCCCTCTCCACTCTCCTCTTGTGATTTTGAGCCTGCACACACATGCACCTGGCATGATTTTCAAGCTGTCATGCCTGGAGACTCTAACCATGGTTGGCCATGTGAGAATTGAGTGCCCTAAGTACCATGCCATCTTCTGGTCTCACATACTGTTTTCATGAAGTGTATTTCTCACATTTTTGAAGATCCATCATACTTTCAGTTAATACTTTATCTATCCTGCCATATCCTGTATCACTGAATGTACTTTCAATGCTCTTGATTTCTTGGATTCACTCTTTTAAACTTTAGTAGAACAAGTGTGTCATTAGACATAACTGTATAAATTACATCAGTCATTCAGTAATTGTCCTGTCAAATAGTTACAATACAATATGAAGGTAAGTGCATCTTTGATTCTTTTCTACCACTGAACAAAAATTCACAACTCTATTACCTCAAAATACATTCTATTGATAATACAGTAAATACATTTTCTGTTAAACGTCCCATATTTGGGGCCAGCAGGTGGTATGATGTTTAAAGCACTGGACTCCCACATGGCTGACCATGGTTCGAGTCCCAGATCTAGCAGCTTGAAATTCGCACCAGGCATGTGTGCATACATGCCCAGCATCCTAGGAGGAGAATGGAGGAGGGATTGTGGTGTGGCCATCTCCCCCGAGGGGTGATTTCTCATTTTCCTTCTCTCTGTCTCTCTCTCTGGTGAGTGCATGTGCCCTATGGCAAAAAACTAAAAAAAAAATTCACATTTTATTTATTTATTTATTTATGCCGCAATTCCTTCTCCTCCATTCTCCTCTTGGGATCTTGGGCACGCACGCACACGTGCCCGGCGTGAGTTTTAAGCCACCGGGTCCGGGACACGAACCGCAGTCGACTACGTGGGAGTCCAGCGACATAGCCATTACGCTAGCTGCTGGTTCCCAAAATTCACATTTTATAAAGGCTCTGAAAGCATAAAATAGTTTTTGCAAGTTTGCCTATGAAAGTGAAATTTCACCAAAACTTATGAGAAAATTAAAATCTTTCCTTTTACACTGAGATAGGTATATGTTGTGTCATACCCACAATTCTAATATGGATATCTGTTTATTCTATGTTATTAATTCTTCTTTATCCACAGACAACAAAAATTTAAAACACTATAACTTAGGAGAAACAGTATGTTATATGCTGAACTAGTGAGAAAAAGAATATCATGTGCTTATTTTTTTTCAAAATCACACTGAAGGGACCAGCAGATGGCATAATAGTTACATCCCTGGACTCCCACATAGTTAACCATGGTTTAAGTCCCAGACCTGGTGGCTTAAAAAGCTCATACCGGGTGCATGTGTGTGCATGCCTAAAATCCCAAGGGAAGAAGAATGGACGAGAAGGGATTGTGACTTGGCCATCCCCCTTGAGGGGTAATTTCTCACTTTCTGTCTGTCTCTAGCAAGCGCACATTCTCTATAGCAATAATCACTCTATAAAAAAAAAATCACACTGAATATTCCTTTCTTAATGCTTTGCTTGCCACAAATTCACAGGAACTAATGCACTACATTGATAAAGTATAAATTTGAATAAAAATAAAAAATATGTTCTTAAACTTAAATATAATTTAGATTTTATTTTAATCTCTCACTATATATATATCATTATGAAATATTTGTGCTTTCCTATTTTAAAATGTTTCCTAAGACTTTAGTATGACATATGACCACATGAGCATCTCATATTCTTTTTTTTTTCAGTTGTTTTTGCCATAGGGTATGTGTGCTCAGCAGAAAGAGACAAAGAAAGGAAAAGTGAGAAATCAATCCCCAAGGGGAATAGCTGCAATCCATTCTCCTCTTGGGATTCTGGGCACCCATGCACATGCTCCCGGGGTCATTCACAAGCCACTGAGTCTGGGACTCGAACTGTGGTCAGCCATATGGCAGTCTAGTGCCTTAACTACCATACCACCATCAGCCCCAGCATCTAATATTCTTTTTAAAACCTACTTAGTATGGTAAGTAACTATTGTAGGGGTAGAATTAGTGTTATTTCCCATCTCCTGTATGGGGAAAGTCAGTATTCAAAGGTCACTGGGTAAAGAGCACAGGAGAGTCTCACCTGTGTGGTGGGAATAATTATGCATCACCTGGACACGTCTCCAGGCCTGCCTAATACATCTTTGAAGCAGGACCTAAAAACATCACCTATTTTTTTTTCTTTTATTGGAGAGATTTTTGCTATAGGGCACGTGCACTCGCCAGAAAGAGAGAGACAGCGAGAAATCACCCAAATCACCCCCAGGGGTAATGGTCGTGCCCTTCTCCTCCATTCTTCTCTCGAGGTCTTGGGTACACATGC